CTATGAAATAACTTTGTTTATTTGGATGACATAAAATAGGGCCAAAAATTAAAATGTTCAGAAAGTCAAAAAGTCAAAAACTGCTACTTTTAACCTTGTTAGCCTTGTTTTAACCTGTTTTAATCTCGTTAATTTGAATCTTCTTTATGTTGAATAAAAAATTTCAATTGTTATTGTCGGTTGGAAGTGCTACCTATAATTGTTTAAATACTGAGAATTGGCTGAACTTTATGTTAATTTCATGGGTTAAAGTTTAATATTAAAACATGTTTACCCAAGTTTATAATTGAATAAACTTGAACTTAAAAAAAAATAAGTTTTCAATTAAACTAATATTTCTTTCTGCGTAGTCATCGGTCACATTAAGTTTGCTGAATGAAATGCTTGTTTAAATTTAACGCTAAAATATCACTTATCATTTCTGAACAGAATTGGTGTGATCTGTCAGCATCTATTATTGGCGATAATTTATTGCTAGAGTATAACAACAATCTCTGATAACTCAGGATTCAAAAATTTTAAGAGCAATAATTAAAAGTTTCTGTTTTAAGATCAAGATTACGTAAAGATAGGACAACAACCTTAGGAGTCTAACACCAAGTTAAAAAAAAACTTTTTTTTTTCTTGAGAAGTATAAGAGATGTCGCTGCTCTTTTAAATAGTCTTAATTTTTTTATTTCGGGTACTAAACTATTCAACCGTATGTCTAAGTTGACGGTAACTGCGTTAACTTTTCCGTCTTCAGTAAAAAATGATATAGTGGCGTCGTATGATAAAGTAGTCATACTAAAAAGCTATTTTTAACTTCATGAACATTTAAACCATAAAGAACGGTTGCGTTTTGCTGAATTTAAGAAAGACGTATGTTCAAATAGAATATGTTCACGATCTCTAACGTATATGGTAGAGATCATAACTTTTTTTTCAGGAGTCAGATATTCAACTGTTCTCAATGTCATATTGAGCATTAGAATGTATATGGCATAGACCAGAAACCTTGCATTGCAACAGGCGTTATGCTGACAGATGTAAAAGTAATTAAACTTTTCTTACTTTTTCATTCAATCTTCATGTCATATGCCAAATATTCTACAAGATACCTATAATAATTCCTAAAATATATACTCTTTTTTTAATTTCCTTTAAAAAAAAGAATATAGTTTTAAAATTTTTTTATTATTTGAATTATTACTACATTCCTAGAAAAAATTTCATGTTATAGTAATTAGTAACTAATTCTTTTGCCTTTAAATAGAGTTTGCAGAGATCACTGTCTACAAAAAAGTCTCACTCAGACAACCGTTTGAACTTTTCTACAGCTCTATTGGCTGAAACATTTGTTTAAAATTATGTTATAATTTTAAACAAATGTTTAAAATTGTATTATAATATGTTAAAATTATGTTATAATATTTATAAGCAGGGCTTTAGACTTTTCTTTTAAAATTGCTTTAAAAGCTCAAGTAATATTATTCTCTGCAATATGACGTCTACACAATAACCAAACGGTTTCCAAGTAATCTTGCCAGAATACTTATTGCACCAGACTTACTCCAGTATTTTTTATAGTGGTGTTAAAAAAGAATTCTACAATATAGTCAGCAATTTTAAAATATTTTAGTAGAATAATACTTATAGCCATATCGCTTCCCTTACCACCCTTAGTTGCAAATCAAGAAAATCATCTTTAGTTTCACACTCTGGAATAGTTACAAATACTGGTAGTTTGTCTGCAGTAGTTGTCTGTCTACTATTTTCCTTCTGCTTTATAACGTATCATAAAAATGCACAATTAACATCTTATTAGTAATTAAATCAATAAAGTCATTTCGTCTGCTAAATATACAACGTCATTTCGTCTGCTAAATATACAACGTCATTTCGTCTGCTAAATATACAACGTCATTTCGTTTGCTAAATATACAACGTCATTTCGTCTGCTAAATATACAACGTCCTTCCTCTGCTAAAAATTTGTAGAAAAAAAAAAGTCTCTTTTTCACAAATTCTCTGCTTAACTTTCTTATACTTCTCAAAAAAAATGAATGCATTGCGACAGAACTTTTTTATCACATTATTTACTAGTGACAGGATTTAGCATTAGCAGACGAAACTCTCAAAAACTGTTTAGCATCCATCAAAGCTTCGAAAGCTGCCGCCCAAAGGTTAGAGTGTGATTTCATTCTGATCTATGGTGAATTTTAGGAACGCATTTTTTTAATATATTGAGATTGGCGGCGGCGTGGCGACAACAGCGCACGTGCTAAATGAACGACCAGGTGACATGAGATTTCAAGATTGCTTAAACGAATTCCTACGCAAACAATTGATCACTTTCAAAACATATCGTAACAATAGATTTTCAGAGCCGAACAGTACTTTCGACCAGTAATAACAGCTAAGCCAGATTTCTTGATAGAAATAAAAGAAAATGACTTATTTGTGGACACTCCAATGGGACAATTTTACGCTTTAATCACGGGTCAATTTGTTCTGAACGACATGATAGACGTAGTACCGATCGTGCTACGAAAACGCTACATCTGGAACAGAGCTGACTTCGCTAAATTCTAAAAAAAATTAAAATAAAATTAAGTTCAACCAATTGGAATAGCTTACTCAAAAACTGCTCAGCTAACAAATGTTACAATCTCTTTTTAGAAGTGTACAACGAATTAAAAACAGAACTCATTCCGTCGACTACCTCACCCAAGAAGAAACACGAACCATGGATAACAGACGAAGTTTTAAACGCTATTAGAAAAAAACAAGAACTTTGGAATAAATATATCGCCTCTGATTGCCAAACACATAGTGAGCTCAGAGACAATCACAAGAAGCATGTAGAAATGTAACAAAAACTTTGAGATTAGCCGTGTTAGATTATGAAGAGAACCTAGCTAATTTATATAAAAACGACCCTAAAAAGCTACACAGTCATATCAAAAACAAAATTAACTCAAAATATGTATTTAACTCTATAGAAACAAGTGATGGAACAATTTCAACTGATCTTCAAATTGCACAACCCCTGAACAATTACTTCCAATCAGTATTTGTCAACGAGCCAAACGAATCTGTACCGGAATTAGAATCCCGAACTGACAACAAATGTATATTAGACAAGGATATCTTTTCAATCAATGATATCCACGTTTGACTCGCAAACCTAGAAGAATCTAAATCTTTTGATGTGGACAACATTCACCCTCGTTCTCAACCAGCACTAGGGATTGCGATTTCTCTGTTTTAGATGGTATGCAAAATAAGTTATTATACATATCACTTTTTAAAGATTGTAGATTATGTAAAAACCTTAATAAACCAAGAAGATCACTTTTACTTCTTTGACATATTCTTTCAACTAGAGCATTCTTAAGATTATCAAGTTCTGTAACAATAAACTTTAATGTGTTGTCAGCTGTTAATAATGTTTCTTCCTTTCTACGAATCATTTCAGAACCTAAAACAAGCGGCTCAAGACTTTTTGCTAAACTTTCAACTACTTCAAGCTCATCATCAGAAAACATGAGTTTTTCTAAACTAAAATTCACCAGAGATTTACCAACTGCTTTCTTAACTTTAATAAATCTTTGAATCACGGCTAGCATTGAATTCCAACGTTTCCAAATTCAGCATTGAATTCCAACGAGTTTTTGAATCTAAAATAAGTACTAGCTCTTGTCTAAATTCACAGAATAACGTTTCAAAGTATCAATTTTTAAGGGAGATCTTTTAAAAGTTACAACAACTTTAAGAACTTTAACCAGAACCTTATGAAGCTCATGAACAAGATCAGGAGCTCGGTCACTATTTTCATTTTTATCATCATCATTATCATTATCATCATCATAATCATCATCAAAAACATCAAAATCATCTTCAATATCTTTTTCATAAGAAATCTTATTATTTTCAACTTTATTTTTATAAATTACATCAACTACAGCTAAATGTATTGCATGTGCAAAACAAAGTTGATATTCAGTAGGAGAAATATTTCCTAATTTTTCCATAACGGAAGCCCCATCTGTTGTTATACAAACCACATTACTGGAAAGACTCACATTAAACATGTCTAGTTTTTTGATAAGTAGTTTAAGGCAATCATTTGCATTATACGATCTCATTATTCTCTCTAATCCGAGATTTATAAATCCAGTATTAAAGTGAAGATTTATATTCATAAACCTTCTGCCATATTTTGAATATTCATACAAATCTATACTGAACTTGAATTCTTTTTTTTTATTTCAATTATTGTCCTTTTTTTTTCTTCAACTATTTCGATATAATATTTATAAATATAGTTCATGACATCTGTTTAAGATTTTGGTAGACTGTAGCCTTTATCATGAAGCAACTCACGAATTTGATCCGATTCAGCTATTGCACTTATGGAAAATCCATCAACAGCAGCAAATTGAGCCAATCGTTCTATTAATGAAACTTTTTTTTATTATAGAATCAATTGTAGATTGAACACAACGTTTTTTGTGAAGCGGTTTATCTTCGCATTCTTTATTTTAAATGATATTGTGGATTTTCTCTAAATGTCTTTTCAACCCAACGGTACCGCCTTTGCAAAATATTAATTTTGGACAATGTTTGCATTGTACCTCATCATTTTTTTTTTAGATCAAAATAACTCCAAACCTTTGAAGTTTTACGATTTGAGGACATTTTTATAACATTAATTAAATTTTTTGTCGCACAGTGATAAAATACAAGTATACAATAACATTAAGTAATCTTCTGATAGTCTGGAAAACATAAAATTATAATTTTGGCGGGAAAGTTAAACGATGTATTATATAAATCCATGAGTACCAAAAAAAATATCCCGTAATCCCGGAAAAAATTTCCCGGGATTTCGAATTTTTTGGTTTATTTTTTTTCCCGGGAATTTTCCCGAGAACAAATTCCCTGGAACAATCCCTAACCAGCACTGTACCAGACCTGTGGAGGAAATCCAACATCACGCCCCTTTTCAAGAAAGGAATGAAACTAAAAGCATCGAATTATAGACCAGTTTCTCTCACATCCATACCATGCAAAATATTTGAGAGCATATTACGTGGAAAAATGATACTACACTATAATTTAAAAGGTTCAATAAGCACAGCACAACACGGATTCGGTCAAAGAAAAAGCTGTTTAACTAATCTCCTCGAAACTCGCGACTTCCTTACAGAAGCCGCACACAAAAAGTATCCAATCGATGTGATCTACGCTGATTTTTCAAAAGCACTTGATAAAGCCCCACATAATTGCCTATTTAGCAAATTGAAAGCATATGACATCAACGAGAAAGCATTCATGTGGATAAATGCTTGGCTCAAAAACAGACAACAGCGTGTTGTCATTGTTACTCATTAAACTGCTGAAATATTCACATCAGATTGGAAAACAGTCACAAGTGGCGTCCCTCAAGGAAGCATTCTTGGCCCACTTCTCTTCATACTATTTATAAATGATCTGCCGGTCAATATTACAAGCCAGTTTAAGCTCTACGCAGATAATAGTAAAATTATGAACATCATAAAATCGAAAGAAGATATGCTAGCTTTACAATTAGACATTGATCATACCATAAACTGGTCTCACAAATGGTTGATGCTCTTTAATGTGGAAAAATGCAAAACAATGCATGTCGGTCAAGGTAACAGAAAATCTATTCAAATCTATTCAATAACAAACACAGAAGGCACTCGTCAATACCTGGAGGAAACTGAAACTAAACGAGATCTAGGTCTGATTTAAATGACCTCAAAGTCCGTGCCCAATTGGAATCTGCAGTCTCTGTAGCCAATTACAAAATGGGCCTACTCAAAGAAGCGTTCTGAAGCAGAAGCATTGTCTCTTCGAGACGCTCTACATCACATATGTGCACCCACACCTGGAATTCTCTATTTCTAGAATATGCTACCGTAGGAAGCAATTGACATCCACAGAGTCAACTTATTCAAAAGTTTCCTACCATGATGGACAAATTGTCTGTTTTCCCTACACATAGATACAATGGACTACACTACAGATAGAATGGAGATGCCTGGTGTTACATCTCTTCGTCAATATACTTTATAATCAATGATTAACAAATTTATAGTATTATTAAATTTTGTAAAAATATAAATAAATTAATCTTGATTGTAAATTTATTGATTAAAAAAATCAAATTCATTAACTAACTAAAAAAAATTTATAAACAAATGAAAAGAATGTTTAATTTTCTTTTGCGTTTGTTTTGTTTGAAGTTGTTTCTTTTATGATACGGATATTTAGTTTGAACGCTTCTGATAAGACTCAATGATAAGGTTAGTGATAAAACTGATAAGACTCAATGATAAGGTTGGTGCTTATTTAAAAACGATTCTAATGCAACTCAGTGATAAGGCTAATTTATACCTTCTTTTTGCTCCAGCCTTTTCTATACTTTTTAAAATTTTTATACATAGTAAACATTTTTAAATGGTGAAACAAACTACATTAAAATAAACTAAAACTTAATTATAGGAAAAAAAAATTATAGGAATTAAATTTAAATTTATTGTGCATAAGTAAGTTTGATTAAAAGTAGTAATCGAAATAAATCAGATAGTAAAATTCAGGACACCCTGTATAATACTGACATACTTGTTTGAGCAATGTGAATATTCTAAGGGCTTGGTCTGGTATAAATGGAATTAAGTAAAGCTTAATTTTTTGTTATGTCCTATTGAGTTTTACAGGTTAAAATCATATAATTGATCTATTTTCACAATAATAATCTTTTTTAAGCATTTTTAAGCAAACAATGTTTATTAATTTAACAAATCATTAACGTAACAAATACAAACTGATAGATGGTCCGATGTTTCAGTCATAACCGAGTATATATACCACTTTACTCTTTTACATCACACACAGTAGCCAGAATTCACTTTTACTGGACAAAAATATATATACACTTAATACAATTTAATTTTAGGACTATATTCGCTAAAATCAGCTTGAGTACTAATATGATGTCTGCACTTCTTATAAAGTTTTTTTTATTTAAATTAGCTGCTATAGATACCTATATTGCTTAGCAACCATTAACTAGTTACATTTTCTAGTTACATAGGGGTAAATGGATTTCTAAATAAACTTTATTCGGATTTTCAACCCATCTATTTTGATAAAATTATTTAAAAATTTATGTGATTTCATGGTTTAGCAATAATAAAAACAAAAATAGTGCAAGAAAACGTTTATATTTTGAAATACACCAACACTTTAAAATACACCAACACTTTATCTATTGTTTAAAGATTGTTTAAGTTTCTGTATTACATCATAAGTATCTATATTACATCATAAGTAACTGTATTACATCATTATTAACTGTATTACATCTGGAGGAAATGTTTTATGAGTTGTTCGGTGAGATGCTGATTTACGCAGTGATGAAATAACAGGGTCACTGGAAACAGGGGTTCTTCTGATCAGAGCAATATTTTTTACTCCTCTACCAAAGTAAATTGATATAATTATATTGATTTGTGGTATGATTCACAGACAGGTGAAGGTATTTAGTTTGGGACAAATGTAATGGAGAGCTTATTGGTTTTGTTGATTTAGGCGATTTTAGTTTCATATATAGTTTTCATGCATTTTTCGAAGTAGAAATAAATATTTCTACCTTCAAAATCGTTAGAGAATAAGCTACTCATATTTTTGTGTTTCTTGTCAAGAAACACAAAAAAAAAAAAAAGAACAAAAGAAAAAAAGAGCATTGCAAATCCTTTGTCATTTAGTTTAACTACTTTTGCAACTGCTGGAATTAAATCATTTCAGCTGATGCCAATTTTTTGGAAAGCTTTGTATTACCTTGAAAATTATTTTTACAGCACTTAGGGTGCCTCTCCAAACAGAATATTTTTTAAAATGCATAAGAGCGCAAATAAGAATTTATGTGATGATTTAGTTTACAGAGCACATAATATTTGTTCTAACAAAATGCGTTACATATGTATTTTTTTTAGATGCTTCACACTTGATTAAAACAGCTCGTAACTGCTATGCGAATTCTGGCCCTGGACGAGGTACTCGTTATATGCGGAACAATGGTCTGCACCTACTTTGGACTCATATTTCACAGCTTTATTATGAGGATTTGAATGTCGTTTAAGGTTAATAAATAAACTCACAAGTGATAACATTAATTAAACACCATATTCAGTAATGCGTGTTCATATGGCTGCTCAAGTGTTAAGCAAAATAGTTGGCAAAGTTTTAAAAGAACTTGGTTCTCCAGAATGTGCTGGAGCTGCTCAATTTTGTCTCATGATGATAAACATTTTGACTGTTTGAATGTTTCAAGTAAAAATGAAGCTATTAAAAATTTAAAAGAAAATCTAAAACCATATGAATCTGTTAATGATGAACGTTTTGAATGGCTTGACAGTTTTCTTTTATATTTTAAAAAATATCTGTTGACAATCGAAATGACAAGAATTATACTGCCAATCCTAAGAATAATGCTCTATGCAAACTTATGAAGGTATCCAGATAACAGTAAATTTATTAAGTTATTCTTAGAACACGGTGTTCCTTATATTCTTTCCGAAACATTTTTTCAAGACGATTTAGAAAACTACTTCGAAAGACAGCATGCTATTGGCAGCAGATGTGACAATCCCTCTGTCATAAAAAGTCTGACTAAATAATTAATTAACTTTTCCAAAGTCCCAAACAGTGACTATAATCCTGTCAAAACATCTATTTTCATAGCAACATATAAAAACAACTACATTATTGGCTCAGAATTTACTTTTTGTGCTTGTGTTAATTTTTTCTATGTTTATTTATTTTATTAAAGTAGGTATTTCTCTTTAATATTCCTCTTGGGTGCTTACCCAAGCCATAACCCTTATACTGCTTACCCAAGCCATAACCCTTATACTGATTCCTTTCCACGATCATGATCGTTGTATAGAGTACCTCAGATTTTTACATTAAATTAGGTGAGCTATTTTTAATTTAGGTTGCTAAGTCTCTAAAGTTATGCATTATATATTATATATGTGCAACATTTGGTGGAGTTCACAAAATACGTATGCAGGTATAGAGTAGGAGTATATAGGAAGGGGCGTTTAATTTTTCTACTTTTTAAAAAAAAGGCAATTCATTTTTCTTCTGGGTCTTTTACTCAACTGCCCATCATTTATTGGCCTTTTAAACTTTCTATCTTTTTACTAAATACATAAAATCTTGAAAAAGCAAAGTTTTGATCTTGTTTGTTTTTAATATTTTGAAATTTTATTGAAGATGGTTCTCAATTTTATAGTTGATAATCCAGACACTGATATGCTTAATACAAAATGGGGTTAGGATAAACAGGGGGGCGAAATTTTTGTACAGATCTGATAAATAGAAACTTTTATTTTAATCAGTCAGGTGACTAATTAAAACAAAAGTTTACATTTTAAGTTTAAGATTTTTTATTGGTTACAAGTAAAAGTTTCAATAAACTCAGGGTGGGTGAGAAAAGTTTCAAAATCTCAATAAACTCAGGGTGGGTGAAAAAATTTTTTGAAAATTGATTAACATAACCTTCTGTGTATTAAACACCTGAATATAAATGTAGGGATAGGGAGGGGAGGGGCTGCTGAAAGTAAGCAGCTGTAAATTAAGGTAGAGAGGTTTAAAATGTCCAGTGATTTTAGTGTGTACATACTTTATACATACAGTGAAAACAAATTTGTTACATTTTTTCTACTGATATTAAGAACATGAACAGGCAATATTGTTAGATCTTCATTTTTATTATTTTCATAAAATCAAACCATATGCTAACTATTATGGGAAAGATATATGTTTCTACCAACTAAGCAAAAGTGCATATATAAAATAAAAATATGGTTTTCAGTAATTTAAAAATACCATTTCGCATAATCGTTATTATATTATGAGATTTTTAAAAAGGTGGCAGGACAGTTTATACTTTATAAAAAGATGACAGGATGGCATCCTGGCTCACTTGTACATAACTATATAAAAAACACACAATTATATATGAAACTAATTATCACTTTATTATTCAACATTTAAATTGCAATATTTTTATTTAAAAAGAATTAGGTTGTTTTAACCATAACATTTTGATGGCTAAAATCCTGAAGACCAGAATTAAGGAGCAACTACATTGCTACACATTTCTGTTCTTATAGAATGCTTGTTTGTCGCTTGTTGATCCGATGTTTCAATTGCTACACATTTTTCTCTGTTCTTATAGAATATTTGCTTGTTTGTCGCTTGTTGATCCGATGTTTCAATTGCTACACATTTTTCTCTGTTCTTATAGAATATTTGCTTGTTTGTCGCTTGTTGATCCGATGTTTCAATTGCTACACATTTTTCTCTATTCTTATA